CCGCTTCTCCGGCCATGCTGAGGCCGCATCCCACATACAGCAACTAGAAGGATGTGCAGCTATGACATACAACTATCTACTGGGGCTTTGGGGGGGAAAAATAAAAATAAATAAAATCTTTAAAAAAAAAAAAAAAGACTTACGTGAGAAGACGTACATTAAGACATAGTTTTCATAGACATAGACACAGACACACAGAATGAACTCTGCAAATACTAACAGGCTTCCATTTCTGCTTCTCTCTCTCCACTTCTACCAACCCTCTGAATCTGTGGCCTTCCATCCCACGGGTTTAGTCAAGGATTCATAGTAAATTGCAACTGAAAAAAATCTCCTAATGGACAGCTTTCTTCTACTTTATAGAGGAAATTACCCAACCTGGCCATATAAGAAAGGATCCACTTGCACCGCCTGCCCCAGGAATGACATCTGTCTGGACAATCTCTGCGGTGAGTAAAAGGAACAATTGGCCGATAATATGATGTGTTTGCAACTATTATAACTTTCTGCAGAGTTAAGAATGCAAACATTTGTTTTATCCTAATAGCTATTTTCAGGGAAATTGGCATCAGGTAGCAATTAAACCAATGGCTTACTTACCTACCGAGGAATGAATATATGTTTAAGATAAAGTTAAAGAAGCAAATAATATCCTTTTTATGTAGCTCTAATCAGTACAACAAAAAATGACTATGACGGTGGAAACTGTAGACCCAAGATGTGCTAATTTCAACAAGATCAAAAATTGGTATAACAAAGATATCCAAAAGAGCAGAAGTCTGAATTTTGTGATACTACCTGTCCAAGGCACTCAAGGCTTGCATTTTCATCTATAGAACTAAATGAATGAAATAAAGCTGCAATGTGGCATTTTTTATTAGCAAGACAGCATTTAATGAGGAACAGTGTAAAAGGCCAATGAAGATAACTTTCAAGGATGCTTTAGTGAACGTCCTCTTAAAATTCTGCTTTGTAATTTTGCAGTATTAATACATAATTGGCCAAGCGTTTATGGTTCCTGTCCCAGACACATCCCCATTTCATCCCAGTATGTATTTTAATTCATTTTCTCTTATGGGGTGAAGAAGGGAAGACTCAATTAAGCTGTTACAGTTGTACAAGTCCTCTAAGTACTTTTGTGTTCACATCTGTAACCAGCTGAACTCCTGAGAGCTCCAGGGCTGAGCTGGGTGCTTAGAGTAGAGGGGGGATAGGGTGGATGAAGTTTAACTGCATAATTTTTGTTTAGCAAACGTGTTCCATTGCCTACATGTTTTCTAAGGTCCCTGTCAGGGCTAAAATTATAAAATTCTTTTAAAGTGTTTGTTCCCTTCCTCCTGATTTGTAAACACTGAATTCTCATCTTTACTCCAGATACAGCAACACTTTTTTGACCTGCTTTCTGAGCCAGTCATTTCTCTCTGAGTTCAACCATTCTTTATTCACTCCTATCAGCTGTGTTAAGAGAACTTGGTAACATGCAGCCATAAGGCAAGGAATCTCTTCTCAGAGTTTCAACATATCAACTGAATTTTTCATGCTGCTACAACACTACAAAGCATAGTATTATTTTTTTCCAAGTTAGGCAGTATACAGTAACACAGGAGTAAAACCATAGGTTTTAGAAACAATATGCTTAGTTCAATTTCCAGTTCCATGCACTGTGACCTTGGGTAAGTATCTGGACCTATTTCCTCAACAATAAAATGTAGATGACAATACTTTTTCACACATTTGGTGAAACAAATCAATGAAAGAAAAATTCATATTTAGAACAAGGGCCTGGCATACAATGGCATTCAATAAATATTATCTATTAACCCCAAATTCATCCTCCCTGTAAGCCCAAATCTTGAGTTTACTCTTGATGTTTTGGTGTTTTCTTTATGCCCAAACTTTTAGGTGGTATGTTTTTCTGCCCATGAACAATCTTCACGATGCTTCTTTAAAATAGTGATGAACACTGAGACAATTATTTTAAATTATGTAAAGAGTAATTTAATTGTTGCCACTGGTTAGTTGTCTGTCTTTCCCACTGGATTCTAAATTCCAAACAGGTAGGAATTATGCCTATCCAATTCTCCTTTGTATCCAAAGCGCCTAGTCTAGCTGGCAAATAAGCACTAATTTGAGTGCATGTTTCCTAAAAAAATCATTCCTTCCCTTTAAAAACCCAGATAATTAGTAACAACACTGCTACCACGATGATAACAACAGGGAGAAAACTGCTGGAGTTTCAGCTTTCCATCTTGGAGATCTAGCTTGAGATGGTCTCTAATCTTGTGGGATAAAATTCAGAAAATTAAAGCTGTAGTCCCACAATGAAAAGCCCCTGGGCTCTTAAGACAGATAAAGGGAAACGTAGGCTGACTTGCATGGGGTAAGGGTTAGAGAATAAAGCTTTTATTTAACAAAGGCCATCTCTGACAAATTATGGCAAACATTGGAGTGATCTTCCAGATACTTCTGGTAGTTCAATAATTCCCCAGAGGCCAAATCAGGGCAGTTTTGCTGGGCACACCAGCAAAACTGGTATGAGCATACCAATGCCACACCAACGGCACACGTGCTGGGCACACCAATGGCACACGAGATGGTTTTAGCTAATACATGGATGTACGTTTGTCTCAATATTCAATAGCTGAATACTTAACATTTTAAAAATATACATGTAAGAAAAAAACGTTAACTAGAAATCCTTGATTTCATGGATGTTAACTGCCAAGAAAAGTTAAAGCAGCAGCAGCTTCAGGCTAGTTCCCCATTGACAAAGCCCAGTCACAGGTGTGAGGATCGAGGATACTCACAAGGCCCCAGAGGGTCAGCTCCTCAATGATTCCACCACAGGAATCCAATAGCAGCTGGTGGAGAACTGGTGTGGAAAAGGTGTCTGCCTCTTTCATAAAAAAAAAGTATGGAGAAGGCTAAGGCAGATGTGGAATTTTCTTCCCAGTGCTCTGCATGTCAAAATCTGAATAAAGGCCAGTGAAAGGAAAGGAGTAACTATGACTTTAGGAGAGCCAAATGCCCTAATGATAATTTAATGACGATAATTAAATTAATGGAACAGATAAGAGAGGCAGCTCTTTATTACTGACTGATCATAAATAGTATCATTCTCAGGGAGGAATGTACTTCCACAAAAATATTTAAATTGCTCCTATTATTACTAATATTTAATTATTTTTAAATTCTAATGTTTTAATTTTAATTATCTGCTAGTTATGGAATATAAAACTATGATTTTCCATTTATACTGGTGGTATATAGAGTTTATATATAAAGCTTATATAGAAAGTTGACTTAAAAATATCAAGTTAATACAGTTAATACAAAAAAAATCTTGAATAATTAACCTTTGAAAATCACTGCAATAAAGCCAAAGCCACAGTTAATGGTTATAATTAAAGACTTGGCTTTATTATACTTACCAGTACTTACTTTTTTCTTTCTTCTCTCTGATTTTATAGCTAACCCACAGCGAGACAACGTCACACGTATGTATATAAATCTTAAATTGTTTCATTAAGATCTATGTGAATTGTTACTGCATTCTGGGAGACATTTAAGACGATATTTTATGTTTATTTCACAGGTTACTACTCTACTGTGTATCCAGACTGGCCGATATCTTCACGTAACAGATCCATCTCTCTCTTTCTCATTGTTAGTCCGCCAATCCTATTATTGGGTGTTATAATTACCATTTGGGTCAAGCACAAATATCCTCACATTTAGTTCTGTTGGACTAATACAATCCAGAAAAAAAAAAAAACCTCTCACTTAAAAAATAACAGTTGGGCGGGGCCAGCCCTGTGGCATAGCGGTTAAGTTCAGTGTGCTCCACTTTGGTGGCCTGGGGTTCGTGAGTTCGGATCCTGGGTGCAGACCTACACCACTCAGCAAGCCATGCTGTGGCAGTGTCCCACATACAAAAATAGAGGAAGACTGACACGGATGTTAGTTCAGGGCCAATCTTCCTCACCAAAAAACAAAACAAAAAACAAAACACACACAATTGGGTTTATTTCTAATTTTAAAACATTTCATGAAAAAAATGTTGTTGCAATAAACTCTTAGAAGAAGCAACTGTTCAACTTCCCAACTCTATAGGATAAACTCATCTTTACTTTCCACTTTTCTATGAATGAGCAGTTTTCAGGCTGCCACAGCTGATAAGTAGCCAGCCTGTCCGCCTCAGCTTCTCAGTATGTAAGATGAGCAAGCTAGATGTAGGTGATTCCAGATAACCCCCCGGCCCTCAGGAGTAAAAACGTTTCTACCTCGCTTGTTCATGCTGCTTCAAGTCTGAATACCTGGTCTTCCCTGCTCTCCTGCAATTTGATGTGCTTCTGGTTTACCACTTTCCCAGACTCAGAATACAACAGGAATGAAGGATTTGATCTAAGAGGCCTTGCTTTCTTTGCTTATGGGTTGTTTCGTCTTGGAATGAAATGTAAAATGAGATTATAAAAGGGAATAAGCCTAGGGGCCAGCCCGATGGCATAGTGGTTGGGTTCACGAGCTCCACTTTGGCAGCCCGGGGTTCTCGGGTTCGGATCCCTGGCGAGGACACAGGCACTGCTCATCAGGTCACGTATGGCGGCGTGCCACATATCAAGTGTAGGAAGATGGGCACAGATGTTAGTTCAGAGCCAATCTTCCTCACAAAAAAAGGGGAGGGGGCTGTAATAAGCCTAAATGTTTGTTATCATTAGAGAGAGTACTGAAAAATCTGCATTTATTTTCCTCAAAACCAAATGCTGGGATATGATTTAAAGATTAACCAATGGCATCACACACTGGATCTGATGGATAATTATAATAGCCACATTCCAAAAATCTTTATATAATATAAACAACCTAAAGGATTACTCCTAAAATCATGCTTAGGCAAAACCTGCCTGGAACAGATTAGGTGCAATGTATACAAAGGCATACATACCACTTTATAGTACAAAATTTTTCAAAAAACACATGGAGAATAATTTATATTTATAAAGAACAGCTGTTTATATAAACACTGTTATAAAAAGCAAAGCTCAGACAAAAAGTGATCAGAGTCTACTCCTCACAGATAAGGCAACTAATGCCCTAGTATCTCAAAATCCTTTACAAAAGGAGAAAGTTTAGTAAATTTTAGCTCAATTTTTTTCTGTATGTTACTTTTTTTTCTTCTTTTTCTTTTCATCTGCTTCCATTTTAAGCTTAACTTCTTCAGCTGTAAGAGCGCCCAGCTTCTTATTCTTTGCTTTCTTGACTTTTTCCTTGATGGCAGCCACATCAACTTTAGTTTCAGTAGATGCTACACAGATTAAGAACATAATATATGTAATTCTTTATATTTTAACAAATAAAACATAAAGAATATATATTTAGGACAATAATTTCAGAGCACTGTTAAAATTGAAAGGTCATGTTATAAATATAAAACACCTGCCTAAAGGAAAGTTCGAAGTTTCTTCAAACTAAGAGAAAATAAATCATAAAATAAAGTACTTTAAAAACACATTAGTGAAAGTATACATGAAAATGGCATTATAGTTTAGCTATTTGAACCAATTACTGGATTCAATTTATATTAAAACTATATTTTTTCCTTAAATCGTACTTGAAATCGCAGCATGAAATATTTTTACTTATATTCTTTTCTGTATTTTGGAACTTTAGAGTACTCATTAGTATGCCAATTTTCTATCTTGCATATTAAAATAATTTAAAATTACACTTCATGAGGAATATTACATGTAGTCCTTCTAGCTTCAAAAATTTTAACTAATCATAAAGCTACAGGTCAAAATCTACTTCACTTACAACCACATAAAAATTTAAAAATACAGTTTTCCAAATATTAGTTCAATGAATGACCAGTAGTATTTTATTTAACATCTGAGAGTATTTGGAGGTCCTCTTAGCAGAATGCAACCATCTAATCAAGGCCAAAAGCGTGAACAAAATAGAGAAAGGAAGCATAGAAAAAATGTAACTTTTTCTTACCATTTAAAGAACAGTACTCAGAGCATAAAAGAATCACAAGATAAAACATCCTTATACAATCTGCCCAGCAATTTGAGGAGCAGAGATCTAAAGCCTCCGCTATAGTGGAACAGCTACATTTTTAATCATTATAAACTGAGATTATTTTTTGTTTTATTGAGGTATAACTGACATATAACATTACATTAGTTTCAGGTATACAACATAATGATTTAATATTTGTATATATTATGAAATGATCACCACGATAAGTTTAGTTAACATCCATCACCACACATAGTCACAAAATCTTTTTTTCTCATGATGAGAACTTTTAAGATCTACTCTCTTAGCAATTTTCAAACATACAGTACAGTATTATTAACTATAGTCACCTTGTAGTACATAATATCCCCAGAACTCATTTATTTGATAACTGGAACTTTGTACCTTTTCACCCCCTTCATATGTTTCTCCCACCCCCACACCCCTCTTCTGGCAACCACCAATCTGTTCTCTGTATTCATGAGCTCACTTTTTTTTTTTGAGATTCCACATATAAGTGAGATCATACAGTATTTGTCTTTCTCTAACTTACTTCACTTAGCCCATGTTGTTGCATCATGCTGTCATATATTCAGCCATAAAAAAGAAGGAAATTTTGCTATTTGTGATAAACTGAGATTTAACCAGCTACTGAACTACCTTCAAAGCACATAAATGACAAATTGTACAAACTGGAAATTATAATGCTTATGACATTTTTAACTTTTACATAACCAATGATCTACATAGTAGAATACAGTATTTTTAAAGCTGTTAACACTGATATAACATAAGATACCAAACTAGCAATGTTCTATCTGGCTTTGAGCCATAGGTCATATGCAATGCTGCTGGTGACCCCCTCCCCTCACTGTGCCACCGGCCACTTTGGTGAGTTACCTTAGGAAGAGTACAAGTGCTACTAGTGGGAAAGAAAATGCAACAGAGGAGAGGACAGATCAGAATGAGGCTAGGAATGGAGAAGAGAAGGCACGAGAGTGCTTTCTCTGAGTATCTTTTTAAAAGCCCCTAAAAAAGACCTTCCTGTTATTTTGTTGGTGTCCTTCAGCACAAGGGGATAAGAAATCCATGTGGACAATATAGGAATCAAACTTTAAGCCATAGATCATGTACGCAAAGAGAAGAAAAGCACCACTTCTGATAAGCTCTTTCTGAGAGGCAAGATAGCAGAACTCAGGGATCTCACTGCTTTACTTTTATCTTCATAGAGGATTCACTGCTCTGGTTTCTATCTTTCACTACCACACAACCAGAGGTCAGGAGAGGACTGTCAATCTGGGATACACTTAAGTAGGAAATAGCAGCTCCTAAATTATAAATGACCTCAGTTTCTCATCTTAGGCTTAGTGATTAATGAAATGCTAAGAGAACTGATGGAAGAATAAGGTTATTTCTTTACTAAACGCTCAAATAGATTCAGTCAAATTCCCTATGGGTTTACTCTTCAGATAACAGACTTTTGCATCATACCAAGAGTTGGAAAACAAGCATTACCTTCCTTCAGTTTCACAACTGGTTTTTCTTTAGGTGGAATAAAAGCTTTGTTTCTTTCCTCTTGTCTCTTAGTGAGCGCTTCTGCTTGTTTAGCCTACAGTGTTAATACAAACACGTTATTACTAAGACACAATTCATAGTTAAGTAAGAATTCAGTTTCTCTGACCTTTGCTATTAATGTTGTTAGCCAGACAGTCTTACCTTCACTGCTTCCATTTTCTGTCGCTTCTTTTGACTTGCCTTCAGAAAGTATTCACCACTAGCCAATTCTTTATCAATCTGTTGAAAGTGGTATTTACAGTTACATCAGAAATACAGATTAGAAGTCATTTCCTAAGAAAGTCACAATGTCCTTGAGGTAAAGACAGTGGGATCAAAAATCCATGATTAATTTGTAAGGGCAGTGACATAAAAAAAGAAAATGTACTCTAAGCTGAGGGAATACATGCAGAAAAGCAAAAAGGTAGCAAAGCAGGTGATGTGTTCACGGAATACACAACAGACTGCTTTAGGTGGGGTGGAAGGTCAGTGACTCAGAGAAGCGTGAGAGGAAACTGGAAAGATAGTTTTGGGGAAGCTTAAAAAACTTGTATGCCAGGCGAAGGAGGTGAGATATGATTTATAAACGACTGAAGGTTTCTGAGAAGAGTGAAGAGACCAAAGCAGCGTTTCCTAAGGTATAGAAGCATGGAGGAGATGAAAGCTTGGGATAAAGGTGGCAGCATGCAAAATGAAAAGCAAGAATTGCCAGGATTTGGTAACTAATTAAATAATAATGAGAGAAAGCTACAACTCATTCATTCAATATAGAGTCAACATACATAACTAATCTATCCTACACTTTCATAGCATTAATATATCTAAGGCAGTGTTCTAAACGCTTTACAGTTACTAAGCTCTTTACAATTACTAATCAATTTAATCCTCATTAACAATTCTTTGAGATAGGTATTATCATTACCCCCATTTTATGTATAGGGAAACTGAGACACGGATGGGTTAAATAAATTTCCCATAGTCACAGAGCAAATAAGCAGCAAAATAAGTCAATTGAGACATCACCATTTCGAGAAGCTTACAGTGGTAGGGGAGAGATCAGACAATTACTAACAAACTCCAGGCCAGGGCCATGAGAAGTCTAGCAGGTGTCATGGAAGCATGGTTAGTAACTGGATCGCTCTGCTGTCCTCAACTATCAGATTTCCTGGCTTCACTACCTCCCTTTTCCAGAGCAGTACTCATGATCCAAGACTTGCACTGTTGTTTTCACCATGATGATCATCATGCCTTTTTTCCCTTTGACCTTTCATCCAACGTTCCCTGAAAAACTCCAAATACAAGGCTGTGGAGAAGACAAGACAGTACACAGAAAGGAATGGGTTTACGAGCTGAGCACAAAGAACTAGGAAAAAGGGGAAGACTAAGATACAGCCAAGGGAGGAAATAATGAAGCTAGATCCCTCAGGAGACAGGTGAAGACAGAATTCAAAGAAGAGGTAAAGAAAGGATTAATGCAGATGGAAAAAAACAATTATAAGTGAGAGAGGAGGAAGCTGAAGGTGTTCTTGCCTGATGGTCTTCAATATGTCAGTGAAATAAAATGCACTGTCATCTGCCAGAAGTGGGAGGGTGCCTAAAGAATTAAGAGGCTACACAGAACTGCCAGACAGTACTGAGGCCCTATCTGAGGTTGGAAACATGAATTCACAGTAAATATAATCCAAAGATATGACTTTCTCCAACTATGTTTGCTAGCCACGTTGTGGGAAAGAAGTCAAGTTTTAGGACTGATCCACATTTGAGAGTTTTGCTGGGCAGGTCTGACAGAAAGAAAAGGGAGCATGACAAAAAACAGTGAGGGACAAGACAGAAAAGGAAATTTTGGAAAGGAAATGAAGCCAGAGGAGAGTTGACAAAATGAGAGGCATTCATAAGTTAGAAAAAGGATAGATACTAGAATTTAAAACTTCAGAACTGGAGCAGTCATATAGCACATGGTCACAGGAAGGATGCTAAAGCAGAGCAGAGAACACTGTGGGCTAAACTGTTGACTTTTTCATCCATGGAACATATATAGTGGCTATGGGGACACGAATGATGTAGTTTACACCTTGATGTAGTTGACACTCACAAGGTGAAGCCCCTAATACCCCCCGACACACACTTAGCTCAAAATAAGCCTATTTACACTTACTGTCAGCTGCTTATATCTCTACACACACACACAAATTCCACCTAAAATAACCTCAATAAAGTTTCTGACAAAATAGATTAAAATACTTCCCCCCTCATGTAAAGAAATTCAACATTTAATACTGACCTGACTTTCTGGCTGTGGTGGTGGGAATGGTGTATACTCTTTCTTAACAGTTTTTTTCTTTGGTTCCTTGCGTTTATTCACATTTTTGTGCTTGAACTGTGGCAAAAATCTTTCCCAACTTTGTGATCTTAATTCAGAATCTTTTGCCAACTCTCGTTTAATCATTAAGGTCTTTAGTCATGGCAATATAGGAACAAAGTAAAAATTTTTATTTTCAAAATTCATACATTTGTCAAACTAAGACATTGTAAATATTGTTCCTAGAAATAACAAAATTAAAATGAGGAATAGTTCTTAGTCTCTTCAGTAGGAGTAAACCAATTCCATAAAGAAAACAATATGTAATCTCAAACATGTATAATTAACCAAGCATCAGAAAACTATTAGAAATTTAGATTAAGAAATGCAGTATTGTTAAAATAAATTGAGATGAAAATGAGACCAATTCAGCTTTTCAACATTATTTCATTAAAACTTTTACTATTCAACTTAATAACAGCAGAGAGAGTTCTTCATTAGCAGTGTTCCCTGCAAGCAGGAAGCTTTTGGTAGCATCAGGGAAAGAAAAAAGCAAATTTTCTCTTGATCACACAATATTTGCACATTTCCCCCATGCCAATGTGAATTTCACAGACATTAGAACATCAGAGGATGCAAACCAGGCATCAGATTTGCATCCCATTTTTAATGTCCCAATGTAACTCAAAATGGTTCTTTTGCCCCAATCTAAGAGTGACTTTTTAACTTAACTTCATCAAATTTAAGTGGACTGCTTAACAAATACCCATCATAAAATGGCTCATGATACCATGGGTACATTTCCAAGTACCATCAGGCACTTTGTGCACACAGGGATATAACAGATCTCTCTCAAAGAATCTATGAGTGTTAAATTCCAAAAAAGGTTTTAATGCAATCTGAAATATTCCAGACTTTATTTAAAGAGTGAATTCTGAAAGATCACATCTTTAAATATAGTACACAGGCTCATAATCTAAGAAAACTGGATTTATATCATCGACAACAAATCTATGAAGCTTCCTTTCTTTGTATTAAAACTATATAATACATTACACTGTCCCTTTCAATAGTTTTCAAACTGTACTCCACAGAGACCTAAGCTTTCAAGGATGTAACTACAAGACTGGGGTAGAGTTAAGTTGGCTGAACTCTAATTTACCCAAAATAGCTCCTCTTTATTTGTTTTGTATATTAGGCTTTCATAAAAGATTTAATTTCAAGAAAGGTTTCTGTAGCTAAAAGAAGTTTGACAACTACTGTTAGAGTAATATATTTAACACTCACTTTAATGTTATAAATAGGATGAATATTCTTCATAGTATCTAGGACTACTTTTCGAACCTGAAATTTGCAAAGAAAAATAAATTAGTCATTTATAAAGATTTTAATGAACTAGGTAGAAGGGGATACATTGCAACATGTCGTATGAACCAGGCAATGGTTACCACATTGAATATAATAGTTCCTTCCATTGCTCTGAGTGACTTCTAGATCTTTCATAATCGTCAACCTCCCTTGAATACAATGATGTTCTCAACTTTATTGCTAAAATGTAATATATAGAACTAATATAACACATTGGAACTGTCGGATTTAGTGGGAAGAGGGCTGGATTTAGAGTCAGAAAATGTGGGCTCAAATAATGGGACTACCACGTCATATGGGAAAGTCACTTAATTTTCCTGTTCCAGCTTTCTCATCTATAATGTGAAAATGAAACTACCTCAAAAGTCTGTTCTAAGAATTAAATAAGATAATATATGTAGACTTTACAAAACTATAAAGTATTCAATATATTTAAATTATTATTGCCCCATGAGAAAAGGGCAGATAACTTATGAGAAACAGGTGCAACAGAATTACTATTAAAGGCCCTGGAAAGGAAGCAAGACTTCACAGCCAGATCCAGACAATAGCATCAAAAGGAGTTAACAGAAACAGTATCTGCGCCACAGATCTTCTCATAACATTTAATTTAACAAGTTAAAGAAAATGTTCATGAGTACATTGAATAAACATTATGCTAAAATTCAAACAAAAGAAAATATATCTTAAAGGAAAAGAAGTTTTCAGAGTCTGACCTCTACTGGCTCTATACGTTACTGCAAATAACATGATCTCTATTCAACTCTCCAATCATTTGAGCCATGCAACTACATCATGTGTCTCGTATGTGCTGCAGACTAAGATCTTAAATACCCATTTAAAATGTGTAGTGGAAGGAGTGATGATGGGCAGCCTTTCTAATTCAAAAATGGATGCCTCTGTAGTTGCCAAAGGTTGGCACCTAATATGTTAGGGTCCAGGAATGATGATTTCCTCAAATTACAGTATTTACTAATGGGAAATCAAACAAAGCACATTCTTAAAAAATAAAATAATTATAAAACAATATTTATCCAATGGACTATTATATTATAACCAAATTATTTAATTTGTTCTCTGCTGAAAATTAACTTAAGATAGTAAATACTTCTCACCTCTTTTAAGCCACTAAAAGGTCCAATGGCTGAAACTGTGTTTCCCTGAACCATAATGTAACAGTTTGTTAAGAGTTCCAATGCCTACGTCAAAAGAACAATAAGTTGAAATTCAGTACACTGAAAAACTAATGATAGAGAACGATATTCAAGTAGTCCACTGATAAAAAGTACCTTCAGTGTAGATCCTTTGGGACCAATGAGCCGTTGTCTTCTTTTAACAAATCTTTCTTTATTTCTTACTAAAGAACCTATTTTAATGATGTCACATGCAACATCATCCTGAAGAATCCGTACTGCCTTATGGGGAAATAAAGAAAATACTAAATCAATATTCTTTATAAATACATTTCTTTTCAGAGCCCAGGCTAATGATATCTAAGCAGAAAAATGAAAACTCTATGGAGGGAGAAAGGGAGGGGTGCAGTGTTATATGTTGTCTCTAATGTTGATGCAAATAAAGCCAAGTCTCTATAATTCTAAATTTACCTGTTCAAATGAAACACTCCTTGCTAATAGTTTTATGAGGTCTCTGGCCCTAATGATGATATACGGATCAAAGGTCTTCTTTGTTGTACAAACAGTCATGCTGCCCTCAATCAGGTCCAGGGTTGCATTAACGTGCTGCAAAAAGGAAGGGGCAAACAAGCAGCTGTCTAAAAATGGACTCAACTGTAGATAATTAGAGGCTATCCTATCAAACTATTAATTATTGTGAATTAAGCTGTCTCTCAAATTCTATCAACTCCCTCCTTGAAGAAGCTAGGTAGTTAATATAAATAATTAATACTTGATTACTTTCATACTTCAAAGAATATAAGAAAGTCAAGCAATTGAAGCCATTTATACTTAGTTGGCTTTAGAATACTTTGTACTTACTGGATTAAAGATTATCTCCAGTTTAAAAAATATAAATCAATCCAAATGAAGCCATACTTAAGACCTAAAGTAGAAATGTAAAGTTATATACAGTATAGATACATAATACAGTATTAAAAGATAGGAGAGAATGATAAAAATGGAGTCAAGAGTAAAGAAAGTCAAAAATAAGGATAATTGGTGTCTCTGAAGAGAACATGATAAATGGAACAAGAAAGAAATTTTTAAATTATAACACTGGGACATTTTACTGAAATAAAGGCAAACTTGAATTTACAGACTGAAAGAACACATCCTTTCAGGAAAAGTTGGTACTGACTGTTTAGCACTGAAACAAATTCAGTGTTAATAGATGTCAAACATCACAAAAAAATTCTATGGAAATCTAGACAAAATCAAATCACTTCTTGGAGGAAAATTCATTCTGGTGTTAGACTTCCTCATAGCAAAAAAAAAAAAAAAAGTAAAGGGGCAGCCAGGCGGTGTAGTGGTTAAGTTCACGTGCTCTGTTTCAGCAGCCCAAGGTTCACAGGTTCGGATCCCAGGCACCAACCTACTCACTGCTCAACAAGCCATGCTGTGGCGGTGTCCCACATACAAAATAGAGGAAGACGGGCACAGACGTTAGCTCAGGGCCCATCTTCCTCACCAAAAAAGAGGAAGATTGGCAACAGATGATAGCTCAGGGCCAATTTTCCTCACCAAAAAACAACAACAACAAAAAAGTAAAGCTATATAGCTTCCCTATCCTGGACCCAGCTCTAATCTACCATCAGCTTCCTAAGGGTGAGAACAGACCCTCCCTTTCAAACTTTTTTCTAGCTTGGTTTGTATTAGCTAAATACACAGTAAAAACAAATTATCATAGGTTTAGACAGAAGTAATAATTGGAAAATTATGCATTAACTCTCAATAGGAAGAACTAGATATCAACAAAGCAAATAAAAATGCTATTTTCTGACTTGTGAGCATAATCTGAAGAATATTTCAACATAGTGAGTGATGAACAATTCAACATAAGGTTGGGTCTCTACAAGTTAACAACAAGAGTCCAAACCCAGATGTAGAAAGCTGTAAAAACAGCCTGCAGTTTGCTGAGCCACCCTCATACTCAATGGGCAAAAACAGCTCCAGGGCAGTCCCAGAGTTGAGAAATGCATTTTATATCACAACCTAGTACACACACACACGCACACACACACAAATGAACCAAAAGCTTCATAACATGACACTTACCCTTACCACATGTGACACATTCATTTTTTTAAGGCTCATTATATCCACTGAATTGACTTCTTGATCCACTAATGGGTTTCAATCCATAGTTGGAAAAACAAAAACAAATACACTGCTCTAGGGGCATGGCAGCAGCAACAGATAGAGGAAAGTTGGCCACATCCACAGCCTTCATTTAACGTGAAAATTAAGCAATTTGTCAGGAACATGCCTCAACTCAAACTGTCCAGGTACACTGTCACTAACAGAGCATACAGCAGGCATTCTGAAACTTGGGAGTTCATGGGTGAGTTTCAGACAGTCCATGAAATCCCTAAAATGTTAAAGGTATGTGAATTTTTCAAAGTAATCTATTACCTGCAAAATCAAAAACAAATGGATTATAGGAATAAAGCTTATCTAGGCTGTTTAAAATACCAAAGGAACCAAATTAACCAGTTATGCTAGCACTTAAAAAAAAAAAAATCCATCAGCACACATATATTTATTAAAAGTAAAGGTATAAGAAAGAGCAAAATCTCAAAGAAATATATAAATATGCATACATGCTCATTCAAGGCTTTCTGTACCAAAGGCCAGCACTCTTTCAAGTAAGCCTCTCTATATTTTGGGAACAAAGTTGCAAAACTGCTTTCCTCCAAGAGTCCTCTGGGATTGTCCTCTTTGGAAAAAGCTGGTTCCTTCCAACCCTCAGGAACAGTGAGGAGTTCTGATTCATCTAGAGAGGGGAAAAAATTTATACATCCGATTTTAACCTTCTTTTGACACTTTTTGAACACTTGCACACATTTACCAGCTTCCCAGTACTCTCCCTGCACTTCCTCTTCCCATGCTTTTTATAGACTATTCAACAAAGAACATGCTTCTCACTATCATCAACACGCTGTATTAAAATTACCTGTATACATTTCAGTCCTCTCATAACACAAAGTTCCTTAAGGGCAGGGACCCTCCTAATTAGCATATGCCTGACAGACAGTGGGTACTTAAACTTCTATTGCACTACACTATCTTAGAGGTGAAAATTCAAATACCATTTTGTTTATATGACTATTTTAGGGGCAGGTTTGGTGGCGCAAGCGGTTAAGTGCTCGAGAACTGCTGCGGCGGCCCGGGGTTCGCATCCCAGGCGTGCACCGACACACTGCTTGGCAAGCCATGCTGTGGCGGAGTCCCATATAAAGTGGAGGAAGATGGGCACAGATGTTAGCCCAGGGCCAGTGTTCCTCAGCAAAAGAGGAGGATTGGCAGATGTTAGCTCAGGGCTGATCTCCTCACACACACACACACACACACAAAATTAATAATAAAAAAAAAAACTAATAATCATTGGTATAGGGTTTCAGGTTTTCCAAAGAGTTTTCACGTGCCTTATTTCTGTATATCCTTCATGACAACTATGAAAGGTAGGAAGAACCAGTATTATTTTTTCCCATTTTATAAAAGACATTCAGTCCAAAAAGATTAGTGACTTGCCTAAGGGTACACAAAAGTGAGTCAGTCTAGGTCTCCTTTCATTAAAACAAAATGCCTCCTAAGGGCTATAAATGATCTCCCACATCATTTATTAAAACTCCTGGTCCTGGATTTTAGGAACCTCTTAAATCCAACAGCTATACTTTAATTCAGCACACTCAAAGGTATGATCCACAGGCCTGCAGCATCAGCATAAATTGGGAGTTTGTTAGAAATGCAATTCTTGGGCTCCAACCCAGACTCACGGGATCTGAATCTCTGGGAGGAGGCCCAAGAATCTGTTTTAACAATCTCATCAGAAAAGTCTTATGCACACTAAAGTCTGAGAAACAGGTCTTTATAGCCCATGTTATCAACTCCAGTCAGGTAAACCTGCTCTCTGTTTCTTATACTTCTTCACTTTGCTACTTCTGGATCAAATCACAGAGGATTAGCTAGTCTTCATATACCATTCACTTCCCACTATCCTAGAAAATCTCCAATTCTACAACTGTGATACTTAAAATGCATATCTAACCAAGTCCCCACCCAATTTAAACACTTCGATGGTTATGAATTTTTAAAAAACCAACAAAATGACAAAAGAAATACAAAGAAATTTCATAATAGAGGAGGAACAAAAAGCCCCAAAACGTGTGAAAAGATGTGCAACCTTATTAGTAATAAGGAAAGTTTGAACTAAAACTGTAATGAGATACCATCTCATGCTTACCAAAATGACAGAAATTCAAACTTCAGAAAATACCAAGTGTGAGTGTGGATGCAGAGCAGGAACTCTCATCCACTGCCCGCGGGAGTGTAAACTGGCACAACGCCTCTGGGGAAGCCTGAGTATTACCGGCACCGACCCTATACTTCAAGGAGTCCAATCCCATGTACGTAAACTTGAGAAACTCTTGAACACGTAAACCAGGAGATATGTACAAAGATGTTTACAGCAACAAACGACGGGGACAATCCGAAAGTCCACCAACGCAAAATGAAAATATAAATTACCATCTATTCACACAAAGGAACATCATACAGTAGTGAAAAGAATAAACTACAGCTGTAAGTACTGCCCTGATTGAATAACAAAAACAAAGTTAAGCTTAAAAAGCAAGAGACAGAAAAATGCCTACAGTCCTCGTTCATTTATATAAAATTCAAAAGCAGGCAAAATTAAAGCATCTTGCGCATAGGTAGTAAAGATGATGAAGGAGAAGAGAGCGATCAAGACGATTCAGAGGGTGACTGACGTGCCGGAGGGGGAGAACCCGACGGAGAGGCTGCGGGGCTCGCGGGCGCGGGAACGCTCTCTTCCGCTGGACGGCGCGGGCCCTGCTCACGCGCGGGTTGACGCCTGCGCGGTGCGTATACTGCGCTGCCGTGAACGCTCCACCACGAACGACGCCGCCCCGTCAGCACCTCCCTAACGCCTGCAGAGGGCGAGGTCAGGCTTTTAACCCTTCAGTAGGACGGGCTGCTCAGGCCCGGGGCCCTGTCTCCAGCCTCTCTTCCTGTCATTCACTCGGAAGAAAACAGACAAAACCAGACGCCACAGCGACACGTCAACTTAAAAGTGGGGCAGCCTCAAGAGCAGGAGCCGTGTCGTCTGACGGATAGGAATAACGGAAACGCTTCCACACCTCCACTAACCGATACGCCGGGTCAGGCCACGCGGCCGTGTCCGCCCCGCATCCTCGCGCCTGTCCCACGCCCTCGGGGCCGGCGCTCCCGGACACACCGAGCTCCTCCCGCGTCCCTCAGCTCGGCCACGCCAGCCGCCGCCCCCGCGGTCCCCGTCCTCACCGGTTCACAGAACACCCGAGCACAAGCAATTAGTCAGGAACACGTGGCCGGACTACACCGGCCAGACCCGGCCACCACCCCCAACCGTCAGCAACTGTGGCCCTCCACTTCCCAGAGCGGACTCAGGCGGCGTACGCGACCCCGGCCAGCCAAAGACACAATCGCGCCTCCACATCCAAACCCCAGGCTTCGCTTCCCACACACCCCCACCTCGGTTCTCCGGCTTCGGCTTCTGGGTTCGAGACTCACTTTTCCCAGCCGCCGTGGCTGGCCCCTTCAGTGAGGAGGACGCCATCTTCAAATTGCTTCCGGTGTTACCGGAAGTGACACGGTTCTTAAATCCTACCGGGCTTAAAAATCCCTCTACTCAAAATGAGTTCCGCAGAACTCAGACGAGGAGATGTGCGCAGTCTCCGTTCGTGCGCACGCCTGAGCCCGCGGAGTTGCTCAGTGCAGCGCTTCTCGTGCGTGGCCAGTGGAGAGCCGAAGAGTTCGTTTCCGGGATTCTTTTCCGCTCTGCAACTGCGGAGTTTGACTGCATGCTGGGAATTGTAGTTCCGCACTGTGGGAACATTGAGGGCTGTCGGATTTGTAGTTTTCTCGTGGCCCCAGTGTCTAACCCGGGACGTCGGACTTCAGGGTTAGGGCACCTGACGCTATCGTCATTAATGTCACTTATTCGTTCATTCGATAAATATCTTATATAATCATCAGGTAAGTCCTAGGAGTTGGGAGGAGGTACAAATATGAGAATATATGGTTCTCGACAGCAAGAAGTGACGGTAATAACTACCATTTGTTTGTGCCTGGCACTTTATTTGCATTTCTAATCCTTAGAACAAAATAAAGTTAAAACAAATCTCTCCAAAATTGATAATTTTTTGGAAGGTAAGTTTTCAAATCCTTGTTTCTGATGGTAGTTTTCTTGGGTCTTGATATTTAGCTGTCTCCGCCGGAGAGGTAGTAATTAAGCGACACTCCTGAAGTATTCCACCTAGCCTAAGATTTTCCGAAATGACAAACTCCTGTCTACCTCAGCACTGCATATGGCTGACTTCAAGGTGTGAAATTCATCACTGCTACAAGTGTTTACACTTCTAGGAATCTAAAAGTTCTTACACATGGTAAAGATAGGACTTCTTTTGATGATTGGTCTTATTGCTTGACTTTTCTAAAATTTCCTGCAGCACAACTAGGGAAAGTCTTTGATAGGTTGAATTCCTTGTGTTAGTGAAAGGAGGAACGTTTATCTGAAATCCACCCTTATGTATCTTCTATAAAAATTTAGATTTTCGTATATGAGGTACATGTATAAAACAGACTGTTAACTTGGGAACAGAAGATCCCAAGACACATGATTATGTTAAGATCTTTGCTTTTATCCTGTGTCTTAAAAACGACAGTCAGTGATTCCATTCCTGTAGTCTTACAGTTTGCTCAAAAAGCAATGACAAATCCGTATAGTGAACAAATAACAACAGGTGAAAGTTAAAAAGTGAGAAGCAATTCCTTTAATGTTCCCAGAAACTCTATGAAGCAGGGTTGTATTATCCTTATTTTAAGGAACTCAGTCGCTTATAAGTGGTGAGCTAGACTTGGAGTCCAGGCAGTCTGACCATTAGCACCTCCAGAAAGGCTACTATACTAAAGGATTAATTGTTGCAAATGTGTCAGAAGGAAGGCTGGGTTTTCAGCCTCACAGCTTTTGGACTTGAATTACAGCATCAGCTCTCCCCTGGGTCTCCAGCCTGTTGGGCCACCCTGTAGATTTTGGACTTGCCAGGGCTCTATAATTACTAATCTATAAGTTTGTGGAGAATCTTAACTAATACAGCAATTTGTAAGAGTAAATCCAAATGTTTGATGAACATATGCTGCTCAACCTTACTATGGTCAAAAAAGCATATAGACGTAACAAGGAAATATCACTTCTCACCCACCAGATTGGCAAAAAAGAAATAATAAAAAAATATTTTTAAAATGATAATCTGCTGGAGGAAAGAGCACTGTCATACACTGCTGGTGGAAATGTAAACTGTTACTGCCTCTTTGCAAACAATCTATCAATATAAAATATACACATATTCTTCCACAGTAATTCCACTCCTGGGAAACTGTCAACTAGAAATAAAGCATCATTCCATTAGAATGTGTGTACAACTGTGTTGATTACTGCCTTGTATAGAAGTGATTCAGTGAAAGGTGCTTTGGAGCCACACTGACTGGTTTGCCACCTAGTGGCTATATAGCCTTGGGCAAATTTCTTACCACCCCTGTTCAGTTTCCTACGATGGGGAGATAAACTTTACCTCAGTGACTTTATACATGGAAAATGCTAAAAAAAAATACTTTGCAGGTTGTACTGATACCAGCTCAACACAAGATCCACATAAGGGAAGCCATATTGTAGAAAAGAAACAATATTGTAACTTTGAATGACCTCTGACTAACTCTGTGGATTTTATGGCCCCTCCCAGCTGCTATAAGTTGATAACTTTGTTCTCTTGAGTTCCTTAGGAATGTGATGACCCCTGGGCAGAGAGTCTATGCTGATAGCCATCATCAAGGACAACTGAAAGATCAGAGTAGAGGGCTTTGCTCTGGTCTCTGATGCATATCCAGTAAAACAAAGACTGCCAGGAACTAAAACCAGATGGTTGCCCCCACCCGGAGACCAGATGGGTGTCCCTACCCAGAGACCAGATGCCTCCACCTGGAGATCAGATGCCTCCCCCACCCGGAGACCAGCCCTCTATATAACTGGCCTGTAGTCTTTGTTCTGGGAGATGGTTCTTTCAGACATTAGTCGGCCATGTTCCCCCTTGCTAGCAAGCTGTAATAAACTGCCCTTTCTCTGCCACCATCTTGCCTCTTGATGATTGGCTTTTGTCTTGCGGCGAGCAGATCATGCCCTTTGTGTGGTAACAGTACTCACTCAGTGAGTGTTAGCTATTATTTATTTATGGTGGCAAAAATGTAAAAGCATCTTGACTATCAATTTGGGATATAGTTAAATAAATTGATGTTACCTTCATAACTGTGAGCTATTACATAGCCATTCATAAGAATTAATTAAATCTATATGGAAGAGATGAACTAGAAGCATTGAGTGATAAAAGCCAGATACAGAAAGATGGGATAATAATTATATACATTTTTATATATAATTATATATATATCTCATTTTTATATTATTATATAATAATTATATATTATCTCATTTTTATAAAGCAAACCATTCATTCATGCAATAAATAGTTATTGAGCATCTATAATGTTTCAGGCACTGTTCTAAATACTTGGTTCTTTTTTATGTGCTGGACATAATAATAATTATATATGTGTGTATATATGTGTGTGCCTATATATATATATGAATATATGTGTTTATATGTGATTGTACAATGGAAAAGATTTGGAAGGATACATATCAAGCTTATAAGGCTGGCTACCTTAGGGATGAAGGCAATTAGAAAAGAAAAATGAAGTAGGCAAAAAGAGTTAAAAAAATAGGTATCCATGATAAAAACAAGCGTGCACATGACCCTGTTTATATCAAACTGTCTGAGTGTGCACAGGGAAGTCTATGAAATGATGGTCACCAAAATGTTGACCATGTTACTTCTCAGTATAGAGACATTACAAAGGATGGCAATTTAAATAACAATACAATTGTAAATCAATCACAATTTACATCATTTTATTTTAACATCCTTGGAAATCTGAATATAAATACGTACTCAGATCTGCAAGGTTATTTTCAGAAATTGTACAAGTAACACTAAAAAGGGAAAGAAAAAACTAAGGAGTTTCTTGTCACAAACCTGGGCTGGGAAAGTCCTCTCTGTGTCACAGCAACAGCAGGCAGACCCATTTTGCTTGTGACTTCTCCCTTCCTTGGCCTCATAAACAATCTAGACCCACATGCAGCCATCCTCCTACAGATGACGAGTTCCACCAGCTCTTACCCTGCTTATTCATTTTCCCGTGAAAAGCAAGTTAGCCTCACAACTCTCCTTTGGAATTAGAGACCTTAATTCCCACAAAATTAACCCAGAGGGTAGTGGGCAGAGAAGTCAGAATGTGGCTTAACAATGTTGGGGGATGAAGAGTGCATTTATCTCTTATTAAAAAGAGTAGGAAAACTGGGCAAATAAGTGTGATTTATTTTCCGTTTAACATTTCTGCACTCATTTAACAGGGATAAAAATGATTTTTGCACAGTAATCTATGTGGGTTTTCTTCTGCTAATTTTTTTTAAAATAAGCAATCAAGACAAGTTTTCTCAAATACATAGGATTGACACGTTTTTATTTTCTAACATACATAAGCTACTTTCTATTCCAATTGACCTCACAGCAAGGTGTGAAATCTTCAATCAACATATCTCTATCAACATCAGTAACACTAATAACAACTATGGCTGTAAAATAAGGCCTGTTCTAACGCCATAAGATTACATATTAAAAAGGATCTAGGGGTAACAGTTGAGAAGGGAAAAGCACAGTAAAGCAGCCTAGCTGTAAACTAATCATGTTATTAACCTATCTTTAGAAAAATAACGTCAATAAAAATGAAGTGTTCTGCATGAAAGTCTAGGAAATCTGGGAATCTAGGAAGAGACTGTAGGGGAGAAGACTATCCTCTACCCACTCTGGGTCCTTTCTGGCTGGGCTACAAATTAAATTGACATGAGACCCAATAGCAGGAGAAAATCAAACAAAGCTTTATAACATGTATACATGGGAGAGAGCCAGGAAACTGGGTAACTCAACAAAATGGCAGAGGTTCTCATCTTAAATACTATCTTCAGTTAAAGACAAAGGAGGATGTTGGGGGTGAAGGGAGTCAGCTATGGGAGATTACCAGAAAATCACAGTAAACAAGAGTATGCAGATTTAAGTCCTTGCCTTCTGCATTGATAAGAGTTTCTAGAGATAAGGTCATCCCCCCTTCTTCCTGGTACAGAGAGGGAGATACCTTTACAAATGGAGATTTCCCTTCAAATATAAATGTTTGGTAAACAGAACTTTGATAAGAATGGGCTTAGCAAGGACCCTCCAAGTCTATCCATACCCAGAGTTATCTATGGTGATGGCCTGTCCTGGGGACAGGCCTTCTATCTAAAATTCTTTTAAGCAGTGGTGGGGGGGGGGAATGGTGGGAGTTTCTTTTGGAGAAAATAATCAAGGTAAAGAGATGTGTTTTAAGGTGGCCAATTCTGATCCCCTATAAGACCAAATCTGAGAAACATATTCAGACAGCCTTAGAATGTTTTCTGCTGTGCAACAAGGTGTTTCATGTGTCGTGGTGCTGGGATGAACTATCCTTGCAGGACATCCACCTCTTCCTGCAAGGCCATGCTTAGCAAACTGTCTGGATAAGGAGGTGTGGTGTACTGCTTTGGCTGC